TATATACATATANATATACATGTATTTATATGTATTTATTATGTATGTATGTATGTATGTATATATATATATATATATATATATATGTATGAATTATATAGATATATATTATTTGTCACACTTGTATAACTATCTTGACGTGCATAGCTACGCCGTAAGCGATACGGACAACAAAATACCAACGAGCTGTGCGAGGCCTGTAAGATTTTCAATTCCAATTTCCCGTGTGTACTTGCCTAAATCAAGCATTGTTCGTTAGCCTGCTGGTAGAATCCTACCTCACAAATAGTACGCAGTCCAGCCGATTAACAGTTACAATCATGCCGAATTCAATTTTTATTATAATCTAAATATAGAACCCCGTCTAACCAGTGTTCTGCAGACCAGACGACAGCCCCTTCATAGATATAATAAGTGCATCGGCCAGACCCTTCCGCTCATTCGGGTCCACCTCCACTCCCTGCCGCGCTTGCTCTCTCAGTCGCTTCAGGGCTTCCACCTGCACCAGGTTGAGCGGATTAAGCCACTCTCGCCTGTTGTTCAGGGCCCGTTGCTGCACAGGGTCTTTGTCTAACAACGCCTTCTGTTCCGACACATCCAGCACATTCTCCACGGTTTCCTGCAGCAGTTTCCTCAACTCCACCCCGAATTCACGGTGGCCAGCATCGAGCACAAGCTTCTCGTCGTAGTAACTCGAGATGCGTGGGTCTGCCTTAGCCAACACCATCTGAATCAGATCAAAGAACGACCGCAGGAAGGGCCATTCTCGGTACATTTCGCGCAGCACAGTAATTTTCTCGGCGTCCGAGATGGTATGGCCCAGGGCAGACCCTAGTCCTAACCATACGGGCAGGTGCAGACGTGTTTGGGTCCAGGCGAACACCCAGGGGATGGCTCGCAGTGTCTCTACTCCCCCTGCTTTGCGTTTCTGTGTGGACATAGTGCATGGGCGGGTGGGTTAACAAGCGGGCGCTAACAGAAAGGGCGTGTTCTCGTTGGCAACTGAGCACAAGGTTCGGATGTGCGGAGTTCATGAACGCATGACAATATTCACACACCTTTTAAGAAGATACACAATGGTTTTATACACCTCTAAACCAAGTTTAACCACTTTGATGCACCCTGTTACTGTTAGTCCGTAGGGCACGATACTCATCTAATATACACACCTTGGCTAACCGACATAACATATACATATACGTATATATATATATATATATACACTCACACATATACACACATATATATATGTATGTACAAGATTCTTTTCACAACATATTGCAAGACACTCACCTGAGGACGACTGCCGAGGTTGAGTCTTCCCAACTCGGTCTCGGGTGTAGCCGCTCTGAAGTAGTCTACAAAACGGTCGTCCTGGAAGACAATGGACCGATAGTGTGTGCGAGATACCTCCGACATCTCATCCATAAGCGCTCGCCACGTATCCTTGACCTCCGTCGGGCGCGAGAGATCGACCTTTAGCACTGATGTGGTGTAGGTCTCCAGCGTGCGCAGAGCCATGGCCGGTAGGCCAAAGTCTTGCTCCATAACCTCCCCCTATATACAGTGAATGTGTATTGTAGCGGTTTAATACAAGTCGGAAGACCCTTGGGTATGGTGTTGGGGAGATTCAATTTATAACGAGTTCTGCGGTGTAAGCGCTTTGTGCTCGGGCTTGTATACATATGCGCACGCATGTTGATCGCTAAAATTATTTAGATACGTATCTACAAATAATACAAATATCTGTCCTAGATGGGATGTCCCGAGACAACGGAACTCTCTCCTCATGAAAGAGCGAGCACAGAAACGTAAAAGCGTATATCACAAAGCAAGCTATATCACAGCTACGGTGCGAAAGTTCTTACACAGCATATAACTACATAAACATTCATGAAAACATACATAGCATATAACCCATGAAAACACACATAATATACAACTGCATTTACATCCAAAACACACAAAGCATTTAACTATGTATACATCCAAAACACACATAGCATATAACTATATATACATTCAAAACACACATAGCATATAACTATATATACACCCAAAACACACATAGCATATAACTATGTATACATCCAAACACACATAGCATATAACTATATATACATCCAAAACACACATAGCATATAAGTATAAATATATCCATGAAAATATACATAGCATACAACTACATATACATCCATGAAAATATGCATAGCATATAATTACATATACATCCATGAATACATCCAGTGAAAAGTGGTCATTAAAGCGACTGTAGTCGAATGCGCTTATTTACCTGGATAGTAACTCGCAAGTACTGGTTGATAGTCTTTGGCGGTTGAGAGAGGATGGCAAGCGCCTGTGGACCTCCTCCTCGGCCGACAGTACCGCCTGAAGAAATCAAGTGCATGTAGCGTGAGCATGAGGTATTGCATAGAGGAGTGTTTGTGTAGATGAGTGTTTGTGTAATCACCTATATATAAAAATTTAAACACACTATG